GTTGTTTTTTAGTTGTTACTTTGTTTTTGTTGTTGTTATTATTTTTGTTGCTATCGGTGATATGATTTATTATTTTTTTCTTGTTTCCAGTGTCTTTAGATTATTGTCTATATCCTTATGATGATCGTCATTACTACCATAATCAATATCATTATCATTATCCTTACTTTTTATCACTATTACAAGCGTTGTTATTATATCATAAGTCTTATAATTATTATTAGTATCATTATTGTCATTATCATCACCGTTATTATTATTACAGTTATTATCATTACTGCTATTATTTTATAATTGCCATCCTGATCAATATTATCATTATTCTTATTATCATTATTGCTATTCTTGTTATCATCAATGTTATCATTACGATAATAATCATCCTCATTATCATAATCACTGTTGTTTATAACAGTGATAACCATTACCATTAACATTGTCATAATAATAGGAGTGTCATTATCACTATCATTATCAACATAATCATAAGTATTATTGCCATCACGATCATCATTGTCCTTCACAATCTTTTCATTATCATTATAATTACTATCATCATCATTAATGTTATCAGCATTATCATTATCATTAACGTTATCAGCATTATCATTATCATCATCTTTTTCGTCAACTGCATAATAATCCATCTCAGTACTGATGTGTTGATTATTATATTTATTATTTCTTTTACTATTTTCATTAGAATGATATCCGTTAGATATGAAAATTACAAGAGAAAATGTTAAAACTGATAGTATTATTCTTACCTCTAATAACATTAATAATGAGAAATTTTATCATCAAAGATATTCACTTGTGATTATAATATAAACTGAAATACATATTAACAAAAATGAAAAAGTATAAATCCTATCATATCATTAATAAGATATAAAACAATAATGAAATATTGCGTTATTTCTCTCTCCATTTTATAGAAAAAAAACAAACAAACAAATGAACAAAAAAAGAAAGATAGAAAAAAAAGAGAAAAAAAATTCCTCCCAGCACAATAAAAAACAAACTTTCTTATTTAATTCAAGGATTAGTAATATTTGCAAACCTGATGATGTTATTTGTTTTGTCCCGAAACGTTGGGCGTCATTTGGTATTCATTGGAATCTTCGTTATCCATTCTACTTATTCAAATTGATTTTTTTTTCTGTATTTACAATTGGATTTCTTGGGGGATGTCATTTCTTACTCAATTATGTCCGTGTCCCCGAGTCTGTTTCTTCTTCTTATCTTCTTCTTCTCTTTATCATTCTTCTTCTTCTTCTCTTTCTTCTTTTCTTTCTTCTTTTCTTTCTTCTTCATCTTCTTCGCCTTCTTCTTTTCCTGTTTCTTCTTTTTTTTTTCTTTCTCCTGCTCCTCCTTCTTCCTCTTCTTCTCCTCTTCTCCTCCTTTTTCTTCTTCTTCTTCTTCTCTTTTTTAGCTATTCTAGTTTAGTTTAGACAGACTCGCATTTTATGACGTATGGTGGTCTGTTTTTTTTTTCTCTCTCTCTTACTTTCTGCTTTGTCTTCTCCTTTATTGTTCTGTTGTTATTTTTTTTCAGTGATTTAGCTTTAAGGTAGATCTTCATGGCGTAATAAAAAAAAAGGTTAAGGTTAGGTCATTCATGGGAATTAATGTGTTGAGATCTATGAATGGACAAAGAAGAATGTGTATAGGATCATATATTCTATATGCAGTGTGTATGAGTGTGTGTGTGTGTGTATGTGTGTATGTTTATGTGTATGTGTGTATGTATATATATATATATATATATATATATATATATATATATATATATATATATATATACATATACATATATGTATATATATGTGTGTTTGTGTGTGTGTGTGTGTGTAAATACATATGTATGTGTGTGTGTATGTATACTCACGCACGCGCGCGCGCGCACACACACACACACACAGAAACACATATATACGTATATATATACATTTCTTTCCCTCCCTCTCCTTTTTCTATCTCTCTCTCCCCCTTTTTTCTCTCTCTCTTCCTCCCCTTTCTCTCTCTCCCAAATCACGGCTTTAAAGTGACCGAATAATCAAGCTCGACCGACGCTGTCTCCCTGTGCCCCCCATCCCCCCACCATACCCCTACCCCTCCTCTCCCCAACCCTCTCCCCTCCACCGCCCTCCTCATCAGGCAAGCGACGTAAACTTTCCACCTATTTTCCCCTCACCCCTTTCCCCTCCCTCCCTCTCTGTCTGTTTCTCTTTATCTTTCTGTGTCTGTTTGCCTCTCACTCTCCCTCTGTCTGTTTCTTTTTCTCTTTCTCTCTCTGTCTGTCTATCTAAATATTTATCTCTCTCTATCTATAGGTCTCGCTTTATCTATCTGTCTCTGTCTCTCTTTATTAATCTCTCTCTCTCTCTCTCTCAATCGCATTTTGTTTTTCCTTTTCCCCTAATATCTCCTAAGTAGGTAGAGGTGAATAGGGAAGAGGGAGAGGGGAGGAGAAGAGGGGGGGGGGGGAGCGAAAGCTAAATTGAAGCCGTGCGCGCACCTAGATGAACTCTGGGGGAGGGGGGGAGGGGATAAGGGGGGGAGGGGGTGTAGGCAATGAGTTTGGGCTTCTTCTTCTTCTTCGAGGGGGGGAAGAGGGGTATAGAGGGAGAGAGAGAGAGAGGGAGAAGGAGGGAAGGGAGGTATAGAGGGGAGAGAGAGAGAGAGGGGAGGAGGAGGGAAGGAGGGAAGGGGGGGGTAGGGGGTGAGAGCTCTCCAAGAAGGCTGTGAGTTGCCACCAATTAACCAGACAAAGACCTCATCTTGGCTCGCTCTATGCCGACGAGAGGGTGAGGGGAGATGAGGGGAGATGAGGGGTGAGGAGAGAAGGGGGTTGGGGGGGTGGGGTGGGGTGGGGGGTCTTTGAGGAGAGAGAGAGGGGGGGGGGAGGTGGGAGGTAAAGGGTAGGGGGTGGGGTTGAGGAGATAGGGGGGGAGGTGGATGGGTGGGTGGAAGGTTGGGGGGATATGTGGGGTTTTTGAGGAAAGAGGTGGGTGGGGAGAGGAAGAGAGAGGGGGAGGGGGAGGTGGGTGGGGGGGAAGGGGTGTAAGAGGAGAGGGGGAGGTTGGTGGGGGGTAGGGAAGACAGGAAGGAAGGGGAGGTGAGGGGTGGGAAGAGAGAAAAGAGGGGAGGTGGGGGAAGGGGGGAAGGGGAAGTGGAAGGGACAAGGGAATGAGGGGGGGGGGAGAGGTGGAGAGGCGAAAGTGAGGAGAAAGAGGTGGTCGGGAGGGAGAGGGGAGGGGGGGGGAGTGAGGGGAGGTGATTTTTTTTCCGACGGGGGGGGGGAGGTGGGGGATAGAAGACGAAAATGAGAAAGGGAAGGTTGAGTTTCGGGGGGGGGGGGAGAGGGGGGGGAAGTGAGAAGAGTGGAATTGTATTTGTGTTTTGGGGACAAGGGGGGGGGGGAGGCGGGGGGTGAAAGAGGGTATTTTAAAGAAGGAGGAGATGGACGGGGGAGGGGGGGGTTAGGGGGGGGTAGAGCTTTTATTCACATGAAGGGGGAAGAGGGGAAAGAAAGGAGAAATCAAGGAATAAAGCAGCGGAAAAGAATAAGGAAAATGAGAAAGAAACGAAGAGGAAATGAATCAGAAATTACGATGAAGAGGAATAGGATAACATGGAAGTGAAGATGAAGAAAAATGAAGATAATGAAGTTAATAACTGAAGCTACGAAAGAGAGGAGACGGAATAACCGAAAAGCGAAAAAAGAGAAAGAATTAGGACCAAGGGAAGAATGCATGGAAGAAAAGGAGGAAGAGAAGAAAATGGAGGAAGAAGAGGAGCAGGAAATAAGAAATACCTAATGTAAGATAAAAACAAATAAATAAATAAACAAAAACAAAAAGACAAAAGCAAAAAAAAAAGATAAAAAGTAACATTTTCTATCGATATAAAAGCAAATAAAAATAACGAAATCAGATTAAAAACAAAACCGAAAAAATACAAATATATCAAAATCAAAATCGAAAAAAATAGAAATTAAAAAAAAAAAAAAACTAAAATTACGAAGATAAGGAAAGAACCAACGTGAAAATTAAAATCTTGCTTGAGTGTTTACTTGGAGAGATTAAGTGTGGGCGGAGCATAGAGAGGGGGGGGGGGGGGGGCGTGGGGGGGGGCAGAGAGTGGGGAAGAAATAAGTAGATAGATAGATAGATAGATAAAGATGGTTGGATAGGGAGGGATGGAAGGAGAGAGAGAGAAAAGATCGATATATAGACAAGCAGATGTTAAAAATCATATCTAGGTGAATAGATAGATAGATAGAGAGAGAGAGAGAAAGAGAGAAGACACACAGAGAGAGGGAGAGAGAGAGAGAGAGACAGAGAGAGAGAGAGAGAGGGGGAGAGAAAGAGAGAGGAAACAGAGAGAGGCAGAGAGAGAGAAAGAGAGAGAGAGTGCGAGAAAGAGAGAGACAGAGAAGACACAGAGAAAGACACAGAGAGAGAGAGAGAGAAGACACAGAGAAAGACAGAGAGAGAGAGAGAGAGAGAGAGAGAGAGAAGACACAGAGAAAGACAGAGAGAGAGAGAGAGAGAAGACACAGAGAAGAATGAGATAAACGCATAAAATACTTGAAAAAGCAACTTTATACATGATAGGGTAAGGAAATGTATTTGTTTATTTATTTATTTATTTTTATCTTACATTAGGTATTTCTTCCTCCATTTTCTTCTCTCCCTCCTTTTCTTCCCTGCATTCTACTCCCTTGGATTTGCCAATAAATAGACACATATAAAAATAGATATAAGACAAGACAGAAAAAAAAGAACAAATGATCAGATAAACACATTCGCGTCAACATGAACGAACGAACAGATACATAACGAAGAAGGAAGAAACAGGTTGTTCAATAAAGAGAAAGAAAAACATACATAGAGAGAGATAGAGATAAATGAGGGAAAGATATAAAATCGTAAAATAAATGATGGAATGAACATAGAGTTTGAGAAATAACGCTCCCTCGGGATGAATAAAAGGGGATATCGCAGAATTGCTGAGAGAAGCACTGAGAGAAGCGCTGAGTGAAGTGCTGAGAGAAGTGTTGAGAGAAGTGCTAAGAGAATTACTGAGAGAAGCATTGAGAGAAGTGCTGAGAGAATTACTGAGAGAAGCATTGAGAGAAGTGCTGAGAGAATTACTGAGAGAAGCATTGAGAGAAGTGTTGAGAGAATTACTGAGAGAAGCATTGAGAGAAGTGCTGAGAGAATTACTGAGAGAAGCATTGAGAGAAGTGCTAAGAGAATTACTGAGAGAAGCATTGAGAGAAGCATTGAGAGAAGTGCTGAGAGAATTACTGAGAGAAGCATTGAGAGAAGTGCTGAGAGAATTACTGAGAGAAGCATTGAGAGAAGCATTGAGAGAAGTGCTGAGAGAATTACTGAGAGAAGCATTGAGAGAAGCATTGAGAGAAGTGCTGAGAGAAGCGCTGAGTGAAGTGTTGAGAGAAGTGCTGAGAGAAGCGCTGAGTGAAGTGTTGAGAGAAGTGCTGAGAGAAGCGCTGAGTGAAGTGTTGAGAGAAGTGCTGAGAGATGCGCTGAGTGAAGTGTTGAGAGAAGTGCTGAGAGAAGCGCTGAGTGAAGTGTTGAGAGAAGTGCTGAGAGAAGCGCTGAGAGAAGTGTTGAGAGAAGTGCTGAGAGAAGCGCTGAGAGAAGTGCTGAGAGAAGTGCTGAGAGAAGTGCTGAGAGAAGTGTTGAGAGAAGTGCTGAGAGAAGTGCTGAGAGAAGTTCTGAGAGAAGTGCTGAGAGAAGTTCTGAGAGAAGCGTTGAGAGAAGTGCTGAGAGAAGTGCTGAGAGAAGCGCTGAGTGAAGTGTTGAGAGAAGTGCTGAGAGAAGATCCGAGAGAAGTGCTGAGAGAAGTTCTGAGAGAAGCGTTGAGAGAAGTGTTGAGAGAAGTGCTGAGAGAAGCGCTGAATGAAGTGTTGAGAGAAGTGCTGAGAGAAGCGTTGAGAGAAGTGCTGAGAGAAGATCCGAGAGAAGTGCTGAGAGAAGTTCTGAGAGAAGCGTTGAGAGAAGTGCTGAGAGAAGATCCGAGAGAAGTGCTGAGAGAAGATCCGAGAGAAGATCCAAGAGAAATAGATAATAGAAATGTTCGAAGGAATAAATACAAGGAAATATTAAAGAATAATAAATACTGACGAAAGAGTGACTGGGAAACTTACAATAAATACATACAGACAAAAAATGAAAAAAGGGTCAGAATGATAGACAAAATAGATGAAATAAACAATAAGACACAAATTCACAATCTGATAATAAACTATATATCAATAATAAACCAAATGTCAAATAAAGACCGGATAAACAGTAGATTTAAACGAAGGAGGTAAAGAGGAAGAGGGTGGGGGGGAGGGGGAGGGAGAGGGAGATCACAGAGGTGGAGGGGGAGGGGGAGGGAGATCACAGAGGGGGAGGGGGAGGGGGAGGGAGAGGACAGAGGGTGGAGGGGGAGGGGGAGGGAGAGGACAGAGGGGGTGGGGGTGGGGGTGGGAGGTGATAAGGGCACGCGAGAAAAAAAAAAAAAACAAAAAGAAAAAAGAAGAAAAAAAAACAATAAGAAAACAATAGAGAAAAAAAAGAAAAGAAAAGAAATTGAAAGCTCGTGAAGGGCATTCAAGGGGGGGCATGGATGTCAGAGTGGGCATCAGATCATGCCCCAACGAAGGGCCTTGTTCGAGGAGTAAGTGGTCGAGTGGGAAGGAGGAGGGGGGGGGGGGAGCGAAATAAAAGGGAATTAGAAGAGAACAAGAGAGTAGTAAGAGAGAATAAGAGAGGCACGGGATAAAAGGAGGCTGATCGGGGCCAAGAGGCGGCGATTGAGGGCGAGGTTTGAGGGTGAGCTTCGAGGACCAACGAGAGGTGGCACTTGAGGGTTCGAGGCCGTGTGGGACGCCGCGAGGGGGCACTGCGCTAATTATGGGGGACGCCGGAGAAGAAAACGGAGGCGGGGGGTGAGGAGGGATGAATGGACTGGGGGGGGGGGGGGCTCTTTTTAAGGGTTGAGGGGGTGTGAGGGTTGGGGGGAGGGGAATGGGGGGAGGGTAGGGTGGGGTGGGGTGACGGGGAGAGGGAAGGGTGGGGTGGGGTGACGGGGGCGGTGTGTGTGTGCAGATTTTTTTTTTTTTTTGTGTGTGTGTGTGTGTTTCGGGAGGGAGGTGGGTTGAAGGGATGAGGGGGCTGTCTGTGCGTTTGCTAGTGATCGGACACGTACAATATATATATGTATATATGTATATATATATATATATATATATATATATATATATATATATATAATATATATATATATATATATATATATATAGATATATATAGATATATATATTTATATGTATATATACATATATATATATATGTATATATATATATATATATATATATATATATATATATATATATATATATATATATATATATATATATATACATATATAATATATATATATATATATATATATATATATATATATTATATATATAT